CTCCTCCAGCTGCTCCCGCCTGCCCCTCCACTGCATCTGCTCCCCCTGGCGCTGGTGCCTCCCCCGCCAACACTGAAGCTGCCATCTCCTCTAGCTGTCTCTTATACACATCTAGATGTGTATAAGAGACAGCCTATACACCCCACCCCCACCCCCCCCATCCCCAAAAGTTTCTCAGCGGATTTGGGCTGTACTCAGCAAGCGCAGTACAGTTTCCAACTCAGATCTGAAAACAAATTAGTGGATGGTTGTTTTCTGACTGGTCGGCAGACCGCCGACCGGTCGGCCCTACTGGTCGGCTGCAATACAGTCGGCGATCGGGGTCGGCGGTCGGCAGGGATGCAACCATGCTTCTGGACCTATTCTACTGCACTTCTATCAGAAAATTCGACCCTGGCACACATCAAGGGTCCTCAAGTATCAACTTTTTAAAAGTTTTTTACTCTTTTTTTTTGGGGGGGACAATGCTCCAATCTATTCGTGGCCGGGCCCAGCGTACTATTCCACAATGTCATATGCAAAGTACTTCCTCTGTTCAGCCTACTCATCCTTCAATGCTGGGATATGGCTGTGAATGTACCCACTTTCTTTGCTCTTGTGTCCGACAAGGAGAAGCAACGAGTTGATATGGAAATGTGAGGACTTGCCTCCTTGGCATGCCCCTAAGGGGCTCCCAAAGCCAGCATGTGCCCGCCCTAAGTGAAGGAGGGCCCCTGAATTTCAAAGAGGCCTGTATTTATCAATTTCGCAGAGTCTTGCTTGGCTCCAGACAGTTGCCACGAGCCAGTTGGTTGCATCTGCCCTGCTCGTGAGAGTCAGGAAAATACACGTGAGCCTTCCAGGCACTTCCGGAAGCAGACAGCGCAGGACACACCACACATATGTGCCTGAGTGGTTGGGGGGGTGCCTAACCAATTCGGTCCCAGGTCACTGTCTGAACAGGCCTGGGAGCAGACACTTTGGCCGAGAGTGAAGCTACTGGAAACTCGGTCCCACGAGGCAGGCAGCAAACAGCGAGCCCCGCCACTTTGGGCCGGGCTACGCAGAGGGTATCCGGGCACACTGACTAGTGCAAGCGGCAGCACTGCTGGAGCGGACGCTCGTGCCTGCCTGCTCGCAAGTGTTGATGTCAATGCGAACGCGGTCATGTGGGAAGCAGGGCGCTGCATCAAGGCAGCGCCATAGCCCAGGCCCCATAGCCGGGCTTGGGGTTGGAAGTAGCTGGCGGGGTACGGTGGTGGTTTTTGTGTTGAGGGGAAATGTGGGTGAAGAAGACAAGGGTGAGCGAGGGAGAGATGAGGGTGAGGATGTGAGGGCACGCAACTGGTCTTGGCGATGGTCTACATGATCGGCATCTGCTTGTACTTTGGTCGCTGCTGCTGACGTCAACGGGTCGCTTCGTCAAATAGTAGTCTAGCATAGTAGCTGTAGGATTGTAGTCTGGGCACTGAGCGCCAATAGGAGGAAGAGCTTCGATTGCATTGTTGGTGGTGACGAGTAGTACATGCTTTCATTGACAATTGAGTTCACTGCTTTGGTTCCCCTTCGGTGTCATATCAGTGCATTTCTGCTTTCTGGACAGTTTGCGACTATCTGGCTTTCGTTGTGATTTTGCAATCTGGAATTCTGTCATTTGACTCATTTCGCTATTGCTCATTTTCCTTGCAGAAATGACTGGTATGGAGCAAAAGGAAACCAACATCGAAGGCAGCGGGACTGCGGTGGATGGAACAGAGCATGACATTATAGTATTACACATATTAGATGATCATGTCCTTACTTTCCTTTCTATTTTTTGGGCATAACTATTTTCGTCAAGTCTGATCTTACCTCGATCATGCATGATGTCCATGGTACTCCAGTATCCAGATTCCCAGTAGAAGAACTTGGCAATGTAAATAAGCATCAGAGATACTGACACTAGCATGGAGTCAGCAATAAAACCTTGCATCTCATACTGCAAGAAATCGGGGTGAAGACAACATCACAGGGCAAGATACAGAGGAAGGGAGGGAGGAAGGGAGATAGGAAAGGAGATAGGGAAGGAGAGGCCACGAGAGAGAGAGAGAGAGAGAGAGGAGGGCGAAAAAAGGAGAACAGAAAAGAGATCAACACCATGGTAAAGGGATACAGGTACCCATCCACCCACCTTTCCTCCCCCATTCCCTCCTCCCTCCTCACCCCACCCCACCCCCCCCCCCCCCCCCCCCCCCCCCCCCCCCCCCCCTCTTCGAAACACAAACACCCACACCCACGTCCACACACCAACACCCCTACCCACCCAACCACCTGCCCACACCCGCACACACACACACGGACATGCAGACAAGAAGATAACTGTCACTTGCAAGCACTACGATCACTATGCATCACACACAGTTCCCAACACTCAAGCTTATTCAGCAGAAGGCCATGAGAATGAGCTTCAGCAAAGTTCCTCTAACATATGTGTCGACGACAATGAAACCGAATGCAATCACACCATAACAGCTGCAGGTACATACAGTCTATTGTCCAATCTATGTATCTACGTACAGTCTGCTAGGTGGCAGTCTGATATTCAGGCCTTTGGTTTGGAGTGCACTTCCGCCTTCTTGAAGCCTGGCCTCATTTCCCACCATTGGGTTCGACTATTCGTTAGCTTAAGTTGGAGGATTCCCAGAGTAATAACGCAGTCCAGAGGCCCAGTGGCCTATTTTGAGGCAAGATCTTCTGGGCACATCTATTTCTTCATTCCAGAATTGCTCCACTGGGCTTCCAGGCGAGCTCTTCATTCTTTCTCGTGGGCCCATTGTTGTAGTAGAGCAGGTAGGAGCATCAATATACTTCCCCACCTGCACACATATCCTTTCTCTCTTGTGTGCCCATTGTTGTAGTAGAGCAGGTAGGAGCATCAATATACTTCCCCACCTGCACACTTATCCTGTGCGTCTAAGTTGCTGCCTTGCATGGCAGACAATTCCTTTCCATCACACAGATCTATAATTCCCCCTGACATGGATGATATAGACGGGATAGTAGATAGAAATGTCTACAGGTTTGGAAGAAGGGGAAGATCACAGCCTCAGTATAAGGTCCGGTTCCAGTATCAGGAATCCGAGGATGACTGATGGTACACTAGGAATGATCTATGAGAGAGAGAGAGAGAGAGAGAGAGAGAGAGAGAGAGAGAGAGACCCTGACATAATGTCACACTACAAAAGGGCTAAGAGAGGCATACGGATCGCAGCCAGGGGAGCAAGGTTGTATCTTTCTCAGTGGACCTTGAAGTTAGCTCGGTCCTAGAAATCCCGGGCCCAGTCCTAGAAGTCCCAAGGTCCCGTGTCCCAAGTATCATAGCCCAACTGGTAGGCCCTTAGGATGAAACATCGTTGTAAGGTCCAATAGGTGGGTAAAAGTCTCCAGCTGTGTATCTTTTTAACGGAGAACGCGAAAAATTGAACGCGCGTTCATCCGTTTAACGGGCCCCCGACCCCCGTTAAAGTTCATCCGTTTAACGGGCCCCCGACCCCCGTTAAATCGCGTTAAACGCAAAAACGGGGGTGTCGCGTCGAATTCCGAAAAACGGAATTCGCGCGTTGGGCTTCGGACACGTGT